CTGCATAATATTGCACATTTTACAATTTTGGGTTGCAGAATAATGCATATTTTCGACTTTTTGGTCGCATTTATGCGGTTTTTTGTTGTCAATTTCGGGCGCACTATTTGCGCACAATTGCATCACGTGGGAAGCATAATGTTGCCTTTTTTCAGCACATTATTTAAGCCCGTTTAAAAAAGATTTACCCCAAGAAGTTGCCGAAATCAGCCCGAAAGAGCCCCGGAGGCCACGGGCAGTCCCGCACTTTGTCCGAAGCCATGCCGGACTGTCCCAAATTCAGTCCGTCGCGTCTCCGGGTCACCCCGTGATCAGCCCGGCCCTGGGTGTCGGGGAAACCGAAATCTGCCCGAGGACCTCCCGGCGCCCGGGCAACCCCAGAATCTGCCCCATGTGCCGGAAAACCCGGAAACAGCCCGGCTTAAGACCGTCGCGGACAGGTCGCTGGTTGTCTGAACATAATATGGACAGGAATATTTCACGTCAAGATTAATAAAACTTATATACTTTTAAGTTATAACAGCAAAATATCAGAGGCATTCTCTATCTTTAAACAAACAAACGAATTATTTGCACTATTTTGTACATGGCACAATCTGACTTATAAAATTTCGTATAAATTCGTGTACGAAATCTTGGATTATTTTGCAAAAAACTGTACGTAAGAACGCAAGATTTTTGTACTTAACTTTTACGTGCGCATAGACATACGTAACTATGTGTCAAATATGACAAAATAATTTAATGTGCATAACACAACTTCATCGGTATAACTTCCTTTTATTGCAACAAAGTCCAACGTCTTCATTTAATCGTTCAGAACACGTCATTTTTTTATGTTGAAGGTCGTTCGGCATATCCTTAACAGAGCCCAGTACATAAGCGAAGGCATTTCCCGAAAACCGCGTCGCGATGCGCCAAACGGTTCGCTGTGAAAGGCATCATTTCTGTAAAGACTGCGCATCTAGTTGAAGGACCCTTCCTGAGGCATCTCCTCTCAGCCGTCACCGTGGCTCAGTTGGAAAGAGCGTCAGTCAAAAGAACAGAAACCCGTAGGGTAGGGGATCGAATACCGCTTGTTTCCCTTTTTATGTGACCGTTGGGTGGGCTCGGGCATCCCCGAAAACAGTCCGAAGGCGCCTCCGGGCATACCCAGAAACTTTCGGTTTTTGTCACTTCTGGGGTGTGTTTCAGGGCTGCCCGCTAGGTACTTCGGAATAACCCGAAAAGAGCCCGCCCGTCCGGGCTGTTCCGGGGGCTGATCATTTTTAAACGGGAGGGTTTGGAAAAGCATAAAGTGCACATCCCTATCCGGAAGCACCAGTTCAACGCATTCGACTTTGGTAGTGGAGGCTCCAAGAAGCGGAGGCGCGACCAGCAACACAACACGCTGCAGCCGCTAGGATTGGTCCTGGGGGGCAGGTGTAATCCATTACACCGAGGGGTGTGGAACTGGTCAAAATAGTGTACACATGATTGTGTCCAGACAATCATTGTTCCAGATTGTGTTTGATTGTTTCTGATTGTCACATTTTTGGGTAAATATTGGGACGTAATTTTAAAAATTGTGTCATGATAGTGTCCGATTGTGTTTGATTGCTTCCGATTGTGTGTGCACACTCACATCATGATTGTGTCGATTGTGTTTAATTGTGTGATTGTTTCTGATTGTGTGTGATTGCTTCTAATTGCAATTAGACCACCTTCTCCTGCTACGCTACGGTGGTGAAGTACTAGCCTGACCGTTCTAAGCTGAGCCGGGGTGGCCGGCTGGAGGGGTAGACGCCCCGGGACGCAGGTAGGCGCGTTAGGCACGTTAGTTGACTCTCATCCAACCGCCGAGCTGCGGCGCCCGGTCGGGGTTTTAGATTACGGTACGACTTTTGCTTCAGCCGCTACCCCCGGGAAAGGCCTTCCACTATTAAACTGACGAGGACGAGATCGTGGGCTGGAGGCAGAGTGTGCAGTGCAGAAGTGAATTCAGGGACCGCAGGAGTGTCACCGGCCAGAGTTCACTGGGAAGGAAACAAGCAGGCCCGCCCTTCCGCCAAACGAAGTTGCCAGCTTCGCTTCGCTGCGCCGTTAACTCCGTTCGGCAGGGGCCGGGCCTGCTTGGCCTGCCGGCGGCGATGGTCAGGCCTGCGGCCCGACCATTTCTGTCAAGCGATTTGCTGAATTACATAATCAGAAGATGTAACGGGCCTTCGGCCCGCAAAGCCCGTCGTCCTTAAAAATTGCCCCGTAGACACGAGAAAGGGATGTAACGGTGAAGCACCGCGACTACAACCCACCCTTCTGCTTAGTAAACGTTTTTTGGGGTTGGAGGGGAGGGAGTTTCGTACCTCTTTTGCGGTTTTGGGCCTTCTTCAACAACTTATTGTTCACTACAGCAATTTTAAGCTTATTTTTGTCAAAAAAAGACCCTAAACGGTTAGGGATAGAGCCAAACGGACGAAATTTTCGTCCTAAGGCTTCTACTTTGATGAGGTACCCCCTAGGAGATCATAAAACATTATTTTTTTCTAATTTTTTTGACCTTCCCAATTTTCTTTGATATCCCCTTTTAGCCCTTTAGGGGTGGTTGCTAGGATTTGCCGTAGGCGTTTCGTTTTCTAGGAGTGAACCTTAAGATACCCTGAAAATTTGAAGTCTGTAGCACATCTCCTTCTAGTGGAACAGACAGACAGGCAGCCAGACACACAGACACACACGAGGTCGTTTGTATAAGCCCGCTAGATAGCTTTTCTAAAGCAGAAGGGCGGGCTATAAACCCGCTGAACAGGGGTGCGTGACAGGGAAGCTCTCGGGAAGTCAGTCGTGCCGAACGAGCGGGTGTGGAGGTTCGTTTGTTGTAGCAATACGCATTAGAATACACGTGTTCAAAGTAAACCGTACCACAGTACTCAATACCCGGTGAACCCCCAGAAAGTACAGTCACAACAGGACCAGAGTGGCCGAAGCGGTTAGGCCCCAACAGATTTGGGCGTGAGCAGAAAATAATAAAAGGGGCTGAAGTGCTCCGGCCTTGCAATTTTAGAAAAAATTACATGGACGGCCAAAATTACACGAATCTATGTAAACTGAGGCGCCAGTGAAGTTAACAGAACGGGCGCCGCTCACTGAAGGTGGGTGCATAGCACACATGAAAGATAAAAAGTTAAGGTAGGCAAAAGGTAGGCATACACAAGGTAGGCAAAATGCCAGGTAGCCCGAAATAAAAACATGGCATAAAGTAGGAAGTAATTTCAATCAACAAAGTTTATGTCACGTGGAGGGCATATCACGATCCCCTCCGCCCCACCGGCCTCGTTCAGTACTTTTTCCCTACTAGGTGGCGTGGGAGGGGGTGCTGGTGGTGATGACGTGATTCAAGCCGGCTAGCTCTAGGCACTCAGCGGTCGGGGAGTACTTGGCGACCTTGGCGGCACTCGCCTGCTGAAGGGCTCCCCACCCGTTCTCTAATGGGCACACCACGTCGAGAATGACGGCCTGCTTGGCTGCGTGGTTGAGGAGCAGGACGTCTGGGCGGAGAAGGCCGAGGGACTCGGGGACCGTGGCTGCAAGTTCAGGTGTCATTAAATTAGTGAATGGTACAACATCGTCGACTCTTACTTCAACTCCTTGCAGACGGCCCCCGTGGGCCAAGGCTTCCAGAAGATGCTCCAGGACTGCATTGTGGCGGCGTGTGATGGCCCCATCGACGGCAGGCAGTGGCAGAGTACGTGGGCCGTCGTCTCGGCGTGTTGCCCGCAGCGTCGACAGAGGCGAGAGGCGGGGGCGGCAGATGTCCAGCGTCGGCAGCCGCACAGGGGAAGGACTCCAAGTCGCGCTCGGTGGACGAAGCGCCAGTCGGCGAACCGGGTATTCCTGCCGTAGGTGAGAAAGTGGTTTGAGTGAGGGCTGGCAGCAATCACACGAAATACCTTTCCTTGGTCCGGCTTCCTTTGGAGTGCGGCCCGGTAGGCCGACTGCGCAGCCTGGCGGATGACCCTGACCACAGTGACCACATTGTCGTTACCGACCAGCATGGCCCAGTATCGTCAACAATACTAAGCCATAGCCTTTTTAGAATAATTGGCTGAGCGATTAGCGAAGCCTATTACTCCAGTGATGATCAAAAAGTTTCGTGTCTGTCTGTCTGTGTGTTTGTCTGTCGTCACGATACCTCGAGAACGAATTGAGTTAGCAACCTGGGATTTTCACGGTCGTTTTGTTTTAAAAAAGACAGATCAAGTTCGAAGAAGAGCATTATAGCTCAAAAATTGGATTTTTAAAAAAACAAAAACCACAGGTCCCAAAAATAATGTTTTTAAAAATATTTTTTTACATTTTCCTAAGGGGTAACTCATCAAAGTAGAGCCCTTAGGGCAAAACTTTCGTCCGTTTGGCTCTATCTTCAACCATTTAGGCACCACATGGAGTTTTTGACGAAAATAAGAGAAAAAATGTACAACCCTGCATTCTTAGTCGAAGTGACGGGAAGTTGACAAGCCGAAGGCCCGAATCTTTGTGTACATTTTTGCGCTTCCCGACTCGGGTGTCAGCGCCGCAGGCCTAGGTAGATGTTTGCCAGGCGCGTCGCAGCGTCGATGGTCACCAATGGCCACATTGCAGTCACCAGCCAGCATGACCCAGTACCAGAATGTAGTCATTCTGGCAAGTCAAGTAACAATACTGGGTCGTCCTGAAATGGGCAGCGTTGCTCGTGGTTCACAATGACCACGTTGTGACCCTCAGCCGGGCCGGCCTGACCACATTGTGGTCATGCACTGTTTAAAATATTAATTTAAATCTCAACAAACACTTTTTCCAGATTGATAAATGAAACGTTAATTCATGAAACGATATGGCTGTATCATCTGCTTCCACGTTAGCGCGAGCTCAGGTTTTTTTCTAAGTACAATGGTCATGCCTCCACCTCTCCTTTTATGAGATGTTATCATCCTTCTGTGGGTGTTAACCAACGTGGTAGCGTGGCTGAACACAACATTCATTTTTTTTCTGATGGGAAGTTGGATTGTGTGCCCTTGGCACCCATGGGACTGGGCCGGCCCCTCATGGTGGTCACCATATGGACAAAGTGAGCAGCCTACACAAGTTGTTGCATTACGATCCACACTCGGCCAGAATAAGCTTCTTACTACATCAACAAAACCACATTTCACACGGAAACCATCAAGTGTAACTAACTGACTTTCAAGTCTTCAGGTGAGCGCAGAAGCCACTAGCGCTCCCCCTCCCCTCGATTGCCGTGCTACCAACCTACTACCACCAAACTGCGAATTCAAATTAAACGATCGCTTATTTCAAACATCTTCTATCAAACTTCTAAACTAAACTCGATACGACCGGATTTATACTGATGCTTCGTGCGCAGTTTGGAATCAATAAGGTATTCCGTAGAACGGTTAAAGAAGAGCAGCACGAATAACAAGGTGGCCCGTGATTCGTCGCCCGGTCTCCCCCTCCACTTGAGCGACGAATCACAGGTCCCTTTGTTATTCGTGCTGTTCTTCTTTTCCAGTTCTCCGGAATACCTTATTGAAGTTTCCGTCTTGGAGAAACGTGTGTGATTACAGATAGACAGACAGACACACAACCGCTGAGTTCCCTGCACCTCACGAAAGCAAAGGCTTCGCTAACGCTCAGCCAATAGGCCTAACAATGACAAAATGAGTGATTTTAGCGGTTTAAGGAACAAGAAGAAGTTCCAAGATGGCCGCCACGGACCACAACAAACTTTCAACTGTTTTCCCGAGCAGCCGCTCGCGCTCGGGAGCCCCAATAACGTACCGAATGGTATATCGCGTCTGTTGGAGTCAAACTTGGTTTTGTTTGAATCTGAAAAACGTGAAAAACACTATGAAAACGACATCGGACCTTTAATAATATTATTTGGTGTTAATCTATGAAAATAATAGTTCATGTTCACAATTTTAACAAACTAGCACCATATCTTATTAACGAACCTGAAAAATTCGTCACGTATGTTCAAATGCTATTTTATGTGTTCCCCTCTTTCTTCCGATCAAAATGATACCAAATTTGACTCAAATAGGCGCAATATAACGTTGAGCACGGGCGTCTGCTAGCAGCCGCTTCGGGAAAACAGTTTAATGTTTGTTGTGGTCTGTGGCGGCCATCTTGGAACTTCTTCTTGTTCTTCTAACCGCTAAAATCACGCATCTAATGTGTACCTGGGTAGGTGTGACACCGGTATAACCTGTGTTTTCCTGCGCACACAAATCTACTTGTTGCTGCTGAGGCTGCTCCTGAGTTGAACACAGAGGCGATGGAGGAACGTTGCGAGGTAGTATTTTCTTTGCAAAGTTCCTGGGGGACTGGAAAATTTATAATGATTATTTAGCTACTCAAGCATTTTACATTATATTGCCAACAACGTCAGTGACTGTGTTAACCAACTTACATCACAGGCAATCGGATTAGGGTTCTTTTGTTGGTCCACGACCACCAACAAAATGACATGAACAAATGAAAACATTGGCTGATATTTTTCTTGGAGTTCCCTGGAACTTACAAGCCCTCAGCCACACACGACACTGGAAGTGATCTGAAGGTAGCTAGTGCAGTTTGCACCCGTGTGTTTTGGGTGAATGGCGAGGAAGACACGTGATGTACGAACACAATCTAACCATCTGCATTGAAAAAGAATACTGATCAATATTTTTGTCCTCAAATAAAAACAATATTGACATGATATGGTATTGTATTACGTGAGAAAGCAAGTAGAAATGACTCAGGAAAACTGAACGATAAAATAGATGTAAAAGCGTTAAATTTTAAGAATGAAAAGAGAGCAAAAAGACCATTATGCAGCCTTATTACGATGAAATATAAAGTCCATTTCGTAAACGGAGCGAAAAGCATTGATTGCAGTAGAAGTACATTGACAACCATAGCCTAACAACCATATTTCAGACCATTTTAATCATATAAAACATTTACAGACACCTTAAATTAAGAAAATAATCACATTAACGGATTCCTGAGACTCTCACCTTTAAAATGATGTTGAACACGATACACTTTCTTTAAGAAAAAGCAAAGATACGCGCGAGAAACGCTGCTATCCCGTACAAAACAGATTGTCTTAGAGCGAGATTACTCATATATATTTTGCAGTTAAAATTGTGACCGTGAACAGACCACGGGCAGATTGCTGTACTCCTCGTTGGGGACTAAATTCAGACTGCGATCATCCAAGCACACAGAACTTCATAGGAAGTAATAACAAACTTGAACAAGACTCTATGAGCGTAAGGAACGTGATACAGTTAACACGAAACAAACTGAGGGACAAACCTGCATTGATTACTTGGCGATGACTAGAACTTTGTGCTTAAACCGATCGACGAGCCGGTTAAAACGTAACCCTTTAACACACGAGGTTTGCAAGACGATGGACAAGTTAACAAGACAATAACAGAGACGGCGGACACGATGCTAAAGCGAAACTTGAAAATGTACACTGCACGGCAGATTAACTTGAATGAGTGGGCTGCCGTCCATGGATGCCTTACTATTCATGATGAACTTGACGGATGAAGTGGGCGTACAATCCCCCAGGCTCATGGCGGCGTCATCGTCGTCCTCTGCTCGTACTCCTCCACATCCTAACGTCCCAAAAAATTGATTGGCCGCGGTGCCTTCGTTGGTGATCCTCGTCGCCAATGTGAAATCCGCGGTGGGACAGAGCTGGAGTAGTTATTTGGAGTATCGGAGGGCCGATGAGGGAGTGGAGAGAGGAGATGTAAATGGTTTAACAGTCAGGTATAAAATGATTTATTTGAATAGTAACAAGAAACAGGTAAACACTGTATGCGCCATACAAGGCGGTGGAGGCTGCGCTGCGACGCGCCTGGCGCACATATAGCTGGGCCTGAACTTGGTATCCACGACCACTAGGGTGTTTCAAAAAAATTGACACATGCTTGAGTGGACTTTATTCGCAAGTTCATGACTCGATCTGAATCTGTGTCAAATTTGAGCGCGGATGGTTCCCCTCATCGGACAGGTCTGAAATTTGGCACAGATTTATATCGAGGCCCGAACTTTCCAATAAAGCCTATTCAAGTATTTATTATGTCATTTTTTTTTCAAACACCCTAACAAGCACTGTCGAAGGAGTAGTTGTAGGGAAACTAGAATTAATGATTAACTTAAGGAAAATATAGGTAAGCTACTTGCTTGGGCTCTCGGGCAATTGACTGGGCAACACGTCAGCTCGATACGCACCGTATGTGGGACACATACGGACAACGTACGGACGAGAGGGGGAACCGCGCTGTACAAGACACCGGGGTACGACGCTCTCGTACCTAGCGTGTCACCGTAGCTCATTGGTAGAGTCACGGGTTCCGAAGCCGAAGGTCCGAGGTTCAACTCCCAGCGGTGGCAGTCCACTTTCAACAGTCAAGTAAGTAGGAAATAGGTAAATAAAACACGAGGGAGGGTTAAACCGAAAATCGAAACAAGAATAACTGGGTCAAAGGTCAAAATTTTCCCAAATTTTCTTTTTGAAATATATAGGGCACACATACGGACTGCATTTGCTTCACCGGGATAAAGTTGGCCAGGAAAAATCCTCCCGGTGCTTCACCGCACTACGTACAAACTTCGCCCGATTCACATACAAATCACATACAATTATGATTCGTGCATGATGCATACGTCTGGTATACGTCGTCGGCCGTATACGTCACTGTATACGGGACATATACTGACGAAAAATCACGGGTGGCTTTCCCGTGTAATTGGTAATTTTGTTTTAAACGGTCTCTGACATTAGCATGCGATGAACGGAAGCCAGACAAACATCTCCTGCCTGTGACAAAGGTCAAACCAATAAAACCAAATTTTATTCTTCCCAAATGTTGCAGGGTGTAACCGTACAGGATCGGATTGGTGCATTAGGAGCGAATAATTCAACAGAACGTCACTATACTCTACAGAAACACCAATGGCTTTGCGTACGGTCTTAATTATGTTGACGATTCAAAGCTGGTCGCGGTCCGAACCAGTAGCGGTAAGAATTCAACCGACAAAATAAAAAAATCCGTCGAACAGGCTAGTTTGTACCACCAGTGCGGTGGATTATGTAGACCATCCACTACCACTTGTTAGCAGGGTGATTCTCAGCAAACACGCCATTTACGTTCCGCGGCCATGCGCCCATCACAACTATGTGATGTGGTTTGTAATGATTTTATACCACCCAGGTACTTACAATCATTGGCTGAGCGATTAGCGAAGTGATGATCAAAAGTTTCGCGTCTGTCTGTGTGTCTGTCATCACAATAACTCGACAACGAATTGAGCTAGCGATCTGGGATTTTCAGGGTCGTTTTGAGTCATAAATAAAAAGACAGACCGAGTTCGAAGAAGCGCATTCTAGCTCAAA